AGTCATAGTTTTTCTCAGCATTTCTATCTAGGAACCGGTTTCATACACTTTTATCAAACTGTGTCATATTAATTCTAGATGGCTTGAAATGCCGTTAACACTACGCACAGCTATTGTAGAATCCTTTTTGAATGTTTTGTTTTTTGGAAAATCCCTCCATGTTTACATATTTTTGTTATGACATGACGGACTTTTTATGTTGACATTTTGGTATTTTATTTGATTCCAATTTGAGATTTTATCATTGTATATTGTTATTATTTCTATATTTTGTACTTATATTGAAGTTTTTATGTTTGCTTCTGAACTGTATATATGTTGTTTAAATTTGATCTTTAATATGGCCACAGCCATATTCGGATTGATACTGTGGCGGACGGATTTAACATCACTTATCCCCCTTTAACTTGGATACTCCTCGGAGTAATTGTGACTTGGAAAGTGCATCAAGTTCAGAATTATTGTGTTTTTGTCATTGGATTGGGAGATAACGCGTTCGAATTGCACTTACTGGAAACCATTTGAACTGCTCCGGTAGAAAATCCATTTACAGCTATGTCCTCCAATTCTGTCTGATCACGGATTTTAACCTAAATAAAATACACAGACTTTAATCAGTCTGACCGTTTTTTCTTGATTTTAGGTACTACTGGATCGCCTTGATCTATGAGGCATATCTTCTCAGTTTAAAGACTAGTTTTTTTCAGAACTACCTATTACTCATAATCTAGTGATCTGAAGATTATATCTGGCTGGAAAGACTTCAGTCATTTATTTTACTGGCTATAAATCCAGTTCACATTCTTCTGCTGTATCACCTGTTTCCAAAGATCTTGATTTCCGAATTTCCTTCCACTTAGACTCACGCACCTGTCTCTATTTCAACACTTTCAGTCGGTCTATAACACATCGCTTTTCAGTAATGCCTCAGAAAACAGTAAATTGGACTCAACTACCAAAACAGTGGAACAAGTTGATTAAAGCAAGTGAATTTTCTCTGTGGGTCTTGCATTTATGAACACTGACCAGGGGAAATAATATACTTGACCTAATATTTATCATCAACTTCGACCCAATCGTGGTGCATGCCGAAAACGGCATTTTTTGAGTGATCACATTTTCTTATTAAATACAGTCCACTCTCTGTATTTTCAGACTCTAAAGCTGCTGCAGAGTTGCAGAGTAAGATTTCTAATAAAGGAACATTGAAGTGCATTGAAACCCATTAAATCCTTACCATGGGATTCCTACTTTAACTCTATAAACATAGTGAGGTCGTACAAGAAAGTGAGGTTGGTCCCTTAATCTTCTTCATTAATAACGTGTACTCACATTTCCCCGTTTCCCGATGACCTAAAACTGGTGTACCAACTCTCATCTTCCGCCAAAAAATGCTGTATTTCAGTTGATAGAAGTGGTTTTCTTTACATTAGAAGTTTATCTGGCTTTTAGTTGGTTCTACAAAACTTACTTGTTTACTTACGCTTGTTATCCCCAACGAAGTGTAGGCCGCCGACCAACATTCTGCTATCTACTCTGTCATAGGCCTTCTTTTCAAGTTCTGCTAGTCTTTCTTCTCATGACTGCTTTCGATTCTCGGCAAAAGTTGTTCTTTAGTCTTTCTCTATTCTTTTGGCCTTGAGGATTCCAAACAGGGGTTTGTCTTGTGACCCATTTTGGTGATTTCTTAAATGGGTGTCCCATCTATATCCGGCGCTTCTTTCAGAGTTCTTCCTCTGCTAGAATCTGATTGGTTCTTTTCAATTTTTAGCGGATTCGAATACAGCTTGAACTGCATATCAGGCTTCCGAAGTATGGAAACTCATAGGATTCATCATGATAAATTCTAGAAGACCGAATCCAGAGTATTGCAATATAAAAAAATATGTCATGCTTAATATAGCATTCCATTTTACAGTAAGCGCAGGCACTATGATTTAATGACAAATAAGGGCGTTTAAAGAAGATTCATGGAAGCGCCTTTGGGGCATTCCTAAGATAATCAAACTTTACAATCTTTCATGCTATATAGTTTATCTCACTACCTGCTCAATAAGAAAATATTCTATCGAATAAGAGAAATTGCACCAAGTGACGTTAGAATTTCCCCCTCAGTCACTGTTCATGTTTTCGGAACAGGATTCCGGGAAGCCCCCACTGATTTAACATTACAACTGAATTTCAGTAGTGACCATCTCCTCGAAACTGGTTTGCGTTTCGTATTAAAATTCAGCGAAATAGCCTATGATTTATCTAAACGCGATCCAGTATCTGTTTCAGTGACTATTAAAAGGATCAGAAACTTTGATTTATCATTTTTTAGTTTTGTTTAGCTTTTTCATGCAAATATTCATAGATCGCTTTAGTTTATAATAATTGTTATTATGATAATTTACAGAATGGATCACCTACGATACCTTACTGTTACCCCTTCACAATATCCAGAACCCAGACTATTGTATAACGCTGAATGAAATGGATTCCCTCTTCAGATTCATCTTATCTTTTGTTTTGTGCATATGATAATTTCCCTACGCATATTTGTGACATCCATTGTATCATTTTGCTTTTACTTTTACTCTCTTCCACAAACATATGCCTCGAAAAATCATCAAACTCATCATGATTTCTCATGATGTGATGCCTTACAATGCTGTAATTCCAGTGGTATTTAGAACAGTTCAGAGCAATTGTCGAGTACTGATTGGAAGTACAAATCGAGCATGTGTTTAGTCGTGACTAGGCGTAAACTCCACAATCAGAAAACTTAGTATTAACTCCCACCAACCTCTACTTGCTTAAATCAACTATTAGAGTATAGTTTTTCTGCAGGTCTATGCCAATGATTTACAGTCATGTCTGCAACGACAAGAATGGAGCAAATGCGTTTGCCTAAACTCACGTTAAGACGAACATATTTTTCTACAGTAAGCGGTAACTGATTTCTCATTTATCACTTGTTAATGAGAGGCTGGACACCATAGATCACCGTTAGCTTTCACAAAAAGGACAGTAACTTCTCAATCAACGTCAAAGTGATAGCAGACTTGCTTCATTAAATCAGTGATTTTCAGCAGGCAGACGTTTCCAACGTCTATAGCTATTGTTCACGCGTATCGGTGTTAGAGTTGCGTGACAAGTTTGTGGAGAAAGAAGGTTTGGGATCTGTAAAACTGAAAGGTTTTAGTTGATTTACAGTGTTGTGGTACCAACACCATGAAGAATTATCCGTTTCTTGCAATCTACAGACAGACCTTTTGTGTAATGGGCTTCTTTGGTGAGTTTCGGATTGTCTGCAATCATGCCGAGCGAGAAAACGATGGATACTATTTCAGAAACCTGTCTTTCATTTCATGTTGACTGTTGCTTTTTTGACAGAACAAACCTCAGTGATAGAAGTGCTGTTGATCTCCTCAGTTCAGATGGCAGACACAGCCAGTTCATCTGTATTGTTACTTTTCAATAAGGTGAGAAGTACCCGAACTTTTTGAACGAACCGTGTTGCGCTTGGACATTGTCGAATAGCTGAACCAATTTCTGTCGACTAGTTAAGTCTCCGCGTCTAAGAACAATTTTTTCAATCTGTCGTAACGCTCACAAACATCACTAGTCAATATGCTAGGCGTAACGTACATGCTGAACTCGCGCGGCAGTGCCTTCAATACTGCAAGAAGCCGCGCATATAAGCCTATTAGTCCATTTTCGTGGAAGTGAGCTTCTTCATAACAGAACCAGGCCACTATATTTTTGAAGTATAATAACGTGTCTAGAACCGTGGAGGCGAGAAATTCCTGATCTCTAGAAGTTCGGGCGTGTCTCAAAATGACAGTAGTAGAATTTGTGATTATACCAAAAATCTGGTACAACTAAAATTACATCAAAACATTAAAAAAATACATAAATAGTAATACGATTAGGTACTGACTTACAGAATAGTGTCTAAAATGTCAAATTTTGTCGAGGCTCTGCCTAGGTATCACAGGTATTCAGTGCTTGGAAATGGGTTGTCCATGCAGACTTTAGCTAGAGTGTGTTCGTTAAAACCAACAGAGTTAAAATCAGTCTCGCAAACTTACAGAAATGTTTGCCTTAACGATTCATTCACCGCTACAAGAATGTTACTATCCCTTTCCTCCTATAATGAACATCGAAAAACGTTGATACAATCAAGTATTATTTAACATCATTTTATTGAATACGACGCAAAAAGTCCTTACGTTTGTTAACACTTGGTAATCGTAAAATTCCAACACTCACTGCAGAGTTAGGTCTTTTCGTTTGTCTAAAAACTTTCTCGAAGCAGCATTTGAGTAAAATATTCCTAGTTGCAGTTTATGAGTGATATGCATTCAGAAGTTATACAGTAGAAACGGGTTTTAGGATCAGATGAGGTATGTTGGTAAATTCCCAAGGATCGTTTGAAAGAATATCACCGGCTTCATTAGAACCAATGACTGATCCCAAGAGTGTAACATTTTAGAATGCCAGAACCCTCAGTAGAGTGACTCGCATTCTTGTTAGAAGGTAATGAATTTCATCGGTTCCTAAAATGAAGTGTAACTTTTCCGCCGTCAAGACTAAGGCAGGGTCTAAGCAATTTTAGCGAACAGTGACGGTACATGTTTGACAGTAGGCCACTCTTTTTCCGCTCTCAGCTTACTCTTGAATTGCTTTTACTTGATTACTCGATTCTGTGTTGTCCATTCCCTCAAAATGCTTGCGTATCGTAAGATTGTACTTACTAGACTTGAACAAAGGGAAAATGTTTGAGAATCAGCATATAGCGAAAGATATACTCTGGATCGAAAAATGAAAGAGGTTTTGTTAAGCATTTCCAGTTATGTACTTATGTCACTAGATTCACTCTCATAAAACCGTTTGAATTTAGAGAAATTTATGTTAATCTGATTTAGGATTAAACCGATAAAAATGTTTCGACTTAACAGTTGCTTTTAGGGGAATTAAAGAGGTGTTTTAGAATTGATTGAAATTTCCCGACCTTTTTATGCTTTCAAGGTTGGACTTTTGGCGGCCATTTTAGATCCAGGCTTTCATACCAAGGACAAAGGGCATGGATCGTGCCCCGGCAGCATATGAGACTACATATGAAACTAGGTACGAAACGACAGATGTTTCATCAGTCATAAACGTTGGTTTCGTGCGGAGTTTAAGTGGGATCTTGAAGCTTTGTGAAGTGAGTTCAACATCACGCATTTTGACTTAAAAAACATATTAAAGATATCCTATTTAAAAGAATTTTGATCATCTTAACATTTTCATATAGTACATGTAGAGGTTCTCAGCTCATTAGCGGCTTTTTGGCTGTGGAATTTCAGCTTTGTTCTTGTGTCTTTATGATGGAACATTTTCTGTAGTGATTATCCTTACTAATTGGATGCTTCGTGGGATAGTGATAAAACGAAGATTTTCCAACTAATGTATCCTATATTTTTTTGGCTACACTGCTCGGGTCACTTTCCTTCTCACGAAGTATAATCTTACAAATATATTTCTGATTATATCTGTAGTCGCTGAGTTCTCAGGTGTCTAATAAATTAGCAGATGCTAGTTCAATGTGGCTACCTCCCTGTTTTTACCGAGGTCTAGCACTGACCAGTATATCATATGCAACCTGTTAAAACGTGTCCAAACCAAGTGCTTCGATTTGTTGACATTAATTGAGTTATCGTTATTACGTTCAACCAAATATTGCTAGCGATCAGCCTTAAACCCTGTTATCACTGTATGTGGGCAAAAATATTTCAATCCTGAAAGCCAACAATGCTTCCGTATTCTGAACGAACAGGTTTTTCAGCCGTAAAGGAAAACTTTTACTAACTTATTTGACTATGTAATTTTTTACTCTCATTAGAGACCTAACACTCCTAACTGATATATTAAGTCTTCTAAAGTCCAGAAAGATATGTGAACACTAGTTGACTTGTCATTACTACTGTTGATATTAAAAATCTAATATGGTTTAACATTAAAGACAAGTATATTAAGATAGCAACTTTTAGAAAATCTGACTTGAGTCCCCATTCCTAGTCTAGAAGTTTAGAAATAGCAATTTTGAAACTTGTTAAACATTAACTTGATAAGTCTCCTCAACACAATCAACTTTTCTTAGATGTTGAAACGGTCTTACCATTAAAGTCAGTTCCACTTCTGTTTCCCTCGCATAAAATCAATAATACAATACTCTCATTTTATCTGCACAGATTCTTCTGAGTTGTATTGTACTAATTTGTGTTGCTGCTACTTCACATTGGTCAATACATTCGTCCGGTGGATGGATAAATTTTGTCGCAGCTACTACTTTGATTTGCGCAGCAGTTTTCTACATATTCTATCTATTCAATCTTATCAGAAAGTTGCCAGGTCCATGGATTATAATTGTAAGTACATGTATTTGCTGTTCGTTTAATTTTTTCAGACATGATAGACTGGAAAATGTTTCCGTTCTCAAAAATTAGACTTAGGTTGATTGTTGAACATCAATAATTAGAAATCTGTTCTAAAGACTGTCACTGATTTTCTTTGTGGAAATCCCCATACCTTTAAAGTCATCATTTAAAATTTAACTGTAATTTCTTGTCGGTGCCAGTTGCCATCAATTTAGTATGGTTGTTTCTTAGCACTGTAATTACATCTACCGTGTAATATCGTCAAAATATTATTATCAGTTATACCATTCGGATACATATTGTTCTTATGTAATTATGTCACAATGTCCGGAGGTAGAAAATTCTTATTATTTTCAGTAAGGTTCAGTGTGGCACCTCATTTTTCAGTTTAACTACTGTCCATGTACTCACTCTGAGTGACATATCAGACATCAGTGCTATCCGTACTACTCAACTACCCAACTTAAAGTAGGTAAAGTCCAAACCTTCCTACTAATAATTAAAAACCTAATGTTTCAGTTGCAGAGCTACAGCTCCACAACTATCGGGGGTCGTAACACTGTTTGAACATATCAGTAGGATTGCCAGGTGATAGAAAACTAAACAGAGATACTACTCACGCTCAAAACTACTATGCTTCTGTGCTCTAATTTAAACACCTGAGTTATCATTTATTATTGTCATGCGTCTCACACCAGATGCTCTTCGTGCGCTGGAAAATTCTGATTTTCAGTAGCATACACAGCTTCATAGTATAATAACTGATATCCAGCTTAATATAATTTGTCAGCTTTCATGATAATAAATTCGTCATGTATTATTTTCATCCATAAAAGTAGATATTCTTAATATTGATTTGTCAAAAGCATATTATATGAACAGTTATTTTCAAAGGAAAATATCGTATTGTGTGTTTACACACACATACAAGTTCGACACAGTAAATACTAAAAACTACCGGTTATATTAACAAGTCCTCATCGTGAGTCACATTTGAAAGAGCCACTAACAAAATATTTGAAATAAATATTTAAAAGCTAGAACATTTGATATTATGTTATATTAGGGAATATACCAATATTAAAAAATATTTTATGATAAATTCTAGAAAAAGTAGTCTGCCAATTTTCCTGACCTTATTGATAAACACTCGATGTTTGTGTACGATGACTTGATAAGTAAAGATGTTATCTAAGCCTAAAAGATATAAATGAAACTGTCCTTAAAACTCATATCTCAGTAATACGTATGTCTAGAACATTAAACATACTAGCTGAATTACTGACAGGAAAACATAAATGAGAAAGAAAATTCAAAACTATTGCGTATTATACGGCATACTATGGCGTACTGTGCTAAACTATTGTCAATGATAAATTATTTCAACCTACTTAGTATTGCTTCAGTCGCTGTTACACTGATTCAATCCAGGCGAAAAAATAAACTAAAGAAACTCCCACATAGTATATCCAGTTGTATATGCTATGTCAATTAACTTCTGACTTGACTATTACCATCTGTGTTGATTTTCTCTTGATTATGCATAATCCTATCCAGTTGACTAGGTGATGATGACAAGACGAAATTCTTCTAAAGCATCACAAACTGTCCATATATATATTATGAACCAATCAATTTTTTGATTTCATTTATGTTAAAAAAGGAAATCATCACTACTCATAACATTAAATTTGTGCCATAAATAATTACCGTGAATTGACTAAAGTTTTAAGCGTGAACCGATTAAACTTTAACTCATTGACTTTTAAGATATTCTACTTGCTGTTTGGACTTAACGGTTCATAGTCAAACTATATGTGAAGTTGTAAGTACAAACTATTAAGAAATCATAAATATGAATAAAATAGTTCTTTATCTTTCCTTAAAATGTTAAAATGTTTTAAAAATGATATTGTTATCTGTTAGATGTTGATGAATATCAAAGTGAATCATTTCCGATTACATGCATAACGTTTTTGGAGGCTCTATTTGTTGGGATTTTTTTTTTTTTATATCGTACAATCCCTGCTCTACCGTTCTAATTGCTTTTTTTTTGCTTAATGCTTTTTTTTTGCAAACAATAAAAATGAAAAGGAGTTTTCTGTGCTACTACTATGCACCTTCTTTTGGTTTATAACGTTGATCGTTGCAGCGGCGCACCATGCGTACGGTTCCGGAGCTATAGCCGCAGCTGTAAGTTATATTATTTTTCTTAAACCTAGTGATGATGATGAGAGGGTAGTTTAATTAGCCTATCCGTTAAATCATGGGTTGCATCCTATTAGGTTGATTAAACCAACTAAGAAGTGTAGATACTGCTCAGCAGTCCACTTTATACTATTTTATGGCTATGAAACATGGTCCATGATAATAGGAGACTTGTAGACTACAAGTTTTTGATCATTGATCACATTTCGTGGAACGATTGAGTGACCAATGTTGAAATTAGATATAGAGGGTACTTGATTAATTTACCGAATTGCTTGATGAGGTCGTGGCTATTTATCAATTGTGAAGTGGTTAGAATATGTGTTACGTATGCTTAATCGCTGCTTAGCTCGATATACGAGGTGAGCTAGGTTAAGGAAAGTTAGAGGCGAATAAACTACGAGATGAAATCATTCTATGGAGTCATTTCCTGTCTAAGCAATCTTGATGGATCCAGACTACCATGTTGTGATTTGCATTATCAGCATAACTAATGGTTTGAGACTTAGAATGAATCGGCTCAGAATTGTTCACAATAGTCCACATGCATTTACTCATAATCATTCGCTTCATCGTGAATTCAAGTGTTCCTTCATTCATACTTGTCCACTCTGTGTACTAGAACCTTATTCTCATTGCTTAATCTTTCATACATCATCATTGCTGCTATATTATTCCAATCTCTTTTGTTATACATCTTGCTAATCTCATCTCATTGTGCTTATGAGGTATGACAGCCTAGATCAGCTCATAACTGTGCCGGTCTCTACGTTGATGATGACTAATTGGTTAATTAGAGTTGCATAATATGAAGTATGGCATGGTTTCGGACCATCAAAAATATTAGCAACTGACATAAATATACACTATGCAACATCAGCACAATTAGTGCAAGAAATAGTCAGTCAGTCACTTGCAACGTAGAACTTCGTACGTATATACATAAGTTCATGTTGCCACACCACATGAGCACAGAGACGCAAATGTCAAATAAAATCCCATAGTGATAAAGATAGTAAAGGTATTAATGGTAATGAAGAAGACTAGGGTTCGAAGATATTATTCAAGAAGTATAATTCAGTGAGATAAGGCTAGAAAGACAAAGGTAGATGTGCTGACGAATCCAGAAGATTAGGATTTGAGAGAGCACAACGAATGGATGCACTTGCGCCATTGCAAACGATTTTGAGCCATGTCGTTCAAGGTCTCTAACCATCGGTGACTTTCGTCTTGCGGACCCCAACCAGGTAGCCTACATCTACCAACATGACTCAGTCCACTTGTCAGTGACTTCATGGATTTCTGCCATGTTTTGGTCTGGCAAGAAATAGAATAAGATAATAAACATAATAACAAAAACTCAATATAAATAATGAAGTTCACAAGTGGGTCAACTAAGTTTAGGCAGTAGATTGCATAAAGTGATGTTAAACTCAAGATTTAGAAAATAATGAATAAAGTCATTTGCACTGCTAATACAATGTATTTTTCCATATGTTCAACCATAGATTACATGAACACTGTAGAATTCAACCACAGCACAGGTTGGATTCATTAGTTAACACTGTCTTAACTTTATTTTACTTATTTAAACATAATTATTGGTACAAAGCTGTGCATGAATAATTTTGCACCTTACAAATCATTGAATTTGTGAATGGGTTGAGATGCTTCTCGACTGCCCAAGCCGAAGCAGATAATCTCAAGGAGCCATCCTAGAGTCTGTGTGTACTACTGATCATGGCTTTATTAAATAGAATCCGGGAAATTTTCCATCAAAGCTAATCACAACCCCCTATACTGCTAATTATCATGTATTCACTGGTGATTGGTTTTGAAAAGAGATTTCTGGAGTTCTACCAACCGTGTACTGATAAATCAATAAGTCTAGTCCAAATAAATAGTGTACTGCTTATATACACTTTTTTTTTCTTGCCCCAGATCTTAAATAATAATTCTTATAAGAGCTACAGTTTGACCTACATCTATCAAATTGCTGTTTAGTCAGGTTGATATTAAAGGGTGAAATAATTTGGCTTATTGAGTCCTTCACTTGAATAATTGTAGTAGGCAACTCACTGAGATGAAATTCAAGTGTAATCACAGTAAATTAAGTATGCATTGCCTACTCCCGACCGTAGCTGCTACCTTCACGTGGTGGTCTGGCTTGCCTATCGTGATGACCCAACCGAGCTTTACTGGCTTTACTGAAGGTTCTACCATGCCAGGCAGGTCGATCGGAGAACGATCAGACTAAAAGCAGCTACCCAAGGTTTGAGGGCGAAGTCGTACTGTTGACTGTGATGGAGGGGTGTGACAGTAGTAAGGTGTTTCCCTCGGACAACAACCATCTGCAGCGATGCTGCCTTCTCACAAGGAAGGTCGACCCTAACATTGTCACACCTCAACCTACCTCACGGATTTCCGTCTCCGTCGGTAAGGGCTGCCCAATAAGGGCTTTAAAGAGCAGAGCTAATACTCATAAAACCTTTCATAAAAAGGCTGTGCGTGACCGGCCTCAAGCAGTTGTCCCTTGGACTCTGCGATCACACACCCAGATCTCTAAGACCGACACTAATCTAACTTCCTTTTCAGGTCCCTCAAGAAACACCCTCCTACAGTGTGAGCAGCCGGGAAGTGACAACCGCCCTCATATCCGTAACTGACTGACTGACTGACTGCATTGCTTACTAACAACAGAGTTGTATGAGCATTACTTTACCTACCAACAGAAAGAAAACATTAACTTTTGCAGTAGAGAACTATGGCTCACTTCACTGAATTATTCAATAAACATCTTTTTATTTTTTCAAAAGTTAAACCTTTTAAAGATTATTATTATCATTATTTCAGTTACCAGTATCTTCACTACTATAGTCTTCTGGATTCATCAGCACCTCTACCTTTGTCTTTCTAACCTTATCTCACTGAATTATATTTTTTGAATAATATCTTCGAACTCTAGTCTTCTTTATTAACATTAATACCTCTACTATCTTTATCACTATGGGATTTGATTTGACATTTGCGTCTCTGTGCTAATAATGTAGTATGGCAACATGAACTTATGTACATACGTACGAAGTTCTACGTTGCAACTGACTGATTGACTGATAGTCTAAATAATCATTGGTTTTTTTTTCTCTCTGTAACTAAAACGTACCAGTTAATGAGAGTTCACTAATTTCTGTTGATGAATGTGTGGTGTATTTATTTCTGACAATAGATATAATTAGTTGATCCTGTTATTTTTCACTAATACTCATTAATTTTTGCTTGTTCTTTTATCTTTCCAAAAAAAAACAATACATTTTGTTGTATACATACATGTGTAGGTGTTTTCTGCGGTTGCGCTTGCAGTTTATATCACTGAATTAGCTACACGATTTCGTTGTGAACGTAGAGCTAATGGTTTTGTTATTACAATGACTGGTGTCATGACTACACATGCAACACGTGGTCCGCCTACATTTGCTCAACCAACTCCAGGACATATGCCAACTGATACGGTAGATCCACATATTGGATTCTCTGGAGCTTATGCACCAGGTGAACGTACAGATGAAGGTTATGTAATGCCGTAATCAAAAGAAATATATATATATACATATATATTTATACATATACATACATATATTGTGTATTACATTTCAATTAAGTTGTGTTTTTTTTCACTTCTACCTATTCAAATCATGTGAGGAGAATCTCTTCAAAAACACACACACACAATCTCTCTCAGACTGATGTCATTATTATTATTAGGCTACTTTACTTAAGCTATTTATATCTACCTACATACAATTATGCTTTTTGTATTTATATAGCTGATCAGATTCGATAGATAAATAGACAATGAAACAATCACCACCACAACAACAATATATGATTATTACGCTAAAATTGACATCAATTTTTGTTTTCTGTATATTAAATATACATTGATTGGGGTCTATTGTGTTTCATCTATATCCCATATTGTGTATCACTCACTGTGTTCAGTGTATGCAATGGAATAGTAGTTTTTTTTTACAAGTGTTCACTGGCTTCCTCACGTAATAATTAATTCATTACTTGCGCTAGATAAATAAATTGTTAGTGTGTTTGTTTCACTTGCCTCTTGTTTTTGATTCAATCACATCCTGTTTTTTGTTTGGTACTCACTGATCTTTTCCCTTCTTCGCTCCGCCCCGCCCCCAAATACCGCCAGCCAGCCAGCCCGCTCGCCTGCCTATTTGCCTCTTTCTTTATTGCAACAGTTCCGCTTTTTACCTTACTTTTTTCCTTCTATTACTGATCATGTGCGTACATTAAGTACCCGATTCAATGCAAGAATGTCTGTTGTGTGTTTGTATTTAAATTTAATGTCTTCTTTGATTGTTGTGTGTTGGTTTTCCTGTGTTTTTAATTTTCTGTTGTTGTTGTTGGTGGTTAATACCACCTTTCAATCTGCGTATTTTTATTCAGCAATCAATCAGTATATAAAATAATACATTGAAGAATATAATTATCACTAGTAAAAGTTACGTATTATTTCCTCAACGTTATATATATATATGTAATGACTAATGTTATTGAAAATGAATAATGTTATTGAAAATGGAAATTATATAAATATATTTATACATGAACATTTGTTGTCTTTTGTGTAACTTTCTACTGTGATATTTTATATTTGAAATTAGTTACTTAGATAGAGGGGAATTCATGTAACCATTCGTCATAATTAAATGTAGACATGTAGTAGTATGTGGAATGCTATCCGTTGGATTAGTTCACTTATTTGTTTACTATGGATAGTAGTGGTTGGTTTGAAATTGGAATGTTGGATATAAGCAGCTTGGAGCGGTATTTGCAGAGAACACATATTTGTCAGGTTTTCGGGTAGTGTCGTTGATTTTGACCTATTTGTTCTTGCGTGCTGTTATGGGTATAAGGACGGTTATCACTTCCCGGCTGCTCACACTGTAGGAGGGTGTTTGTTGAGGAACCTGAAAAGAATGGTAGATTAGTGTTGGTTTAGAGACGCGGGAGCGTGACCACAGAGTTCAAGGGACAACTGCTTCAGGCCGGTCACGCACGGTCTTTTTATGAAAGGTTTTATGAGCATTATCTCTGCTCTTTAAAGCCCTTAGTGGGCACCCTTGCCGACGGAGACGGCAATCCGTGAGGTGTGGCATTTTTAGGGTCAACATTTTTAATCCTTCCTTGTGAGAAGGCAGCATCGCTGCAGATGGTTGTTGTCCGAGGGAAACACCTTACTACTGTCACACCCCTCCATCACAGTCAACAGTACGACTTCGCCCTCAGATCTTGAGTAGCTGCTTTTAGTCTGATCGTTCTCCGATCGACCTGCCTGGTATGGTAGAACCTTCAGGAACATAAGTTCTAGCCGGTATAGCTCGTTCGGGTCATCACGATAGGCAATCCCGACCACCACGTCAAGCCAGCAGCTACGGTCGGGTTATCTCGTTACCGATTCTTGAGTGCTAGATCTTTTAAAGGCAATGGCAAACTTCATTATCCTGTGGCCTTGTGCTAGGTACAGTGAGCACTATATGCCATGTACATGAACTCTGCTTTATCAATGTTTCAAACCTTGACATTTTACTCTGCCTAATTTGCTGCTCCGTACGTCCACCAATTTATTGTTACTCATTATAAGTGCCTACAAATCTATTCGACTACCGAAAGTGATGTAAGTGAAACAGGATTCGAATCTGAAGTCAAATGTTAAGAAACCGAATGCTTCAATCACAACTTTCACTAATGTATTCCACAACATCATTTTGACAGTGTAGCTTTTACCTTGCTTTCCTCTTCGTCTGATCATCTGCGTATCTTTCGCATTACCCCCTCAACGCAATGACACAAAAATCAATAGATTTTAGACATGGTTTTGATATGTGTCAAATAAATCCTCATCTGTCATTATGTTCTTGCGTATGTTGTGTCATTCAGGATGTTCAAGTAGTCACCCCCCCAATTATCAACAGTTACAACAATGGTTATCGTGTTTTCGGATGATCAATAAAGTCTTGATTTGTATTAGTTTTTGAAATCATCAATTAATCATTGTTAGACCACAGTATTTGAAACCTGGAAGCACTGAACGGCCGTTTCGTCCTGATATGGGACTCATCAGCAGTGCACATCCGCGACTCCTGCACCTCGCAGGATTCGAACCCGGGAGTCAAAGACAAATTGATCATTAAGTAAATGTTCCTTAGTTGACAGTCTCTAATGTGACTTCATACTCTGAAACTCCAAGTAATTAAGACTCGATATCTAGCATAACAGAAATAAAGGTTTAGTTTTGTATAAATTAATTGAATTGAACAGAAGCTGAAAAGTTCATCCACACCTTAATTAACTGAAGTGAAGTTAAGATATCATGTATACATACCAGCAGGTGTGTTTAGAAAAACATTGTCGAACAGTTAGTCATCAATTTTCAGTATTTGTTACAGTTGTGTCTATAGTTACCAAATGAACTTGGTTTATAATTATTCTACCTATACAGATAAAATGACTATCTCATACAAATACTTAAAAATTGTTTTAATAAATCAAATTCAATTCGATTGTGATATATATTTATAGAGCTGTCTACAAATTTTAAGGCCTATAAATTTTATAGTGTATACATTACCAAATAAACACCATACGCATAATAAAAATACATATTAAAATCGACCTATGTACCACTACAAGCATACATATCTATAGTAATGCACTCTTGTATCCAGAACAAGTATGAATATTATTAATCTAGTGTTGTAATAGATTAGTGGATTATTTCAATCTCCACTAACCGTTCATGTTAATTCATGAGATTACAGTCTGTATATTCATCAAGCACTGTAGAATTGGTATGAATCAGATTTTTTCTAGCGCAGAGCAATCAGTATAAATTGTTAGCCTCAATAACACTTCGACTCCTAACTAGAGCTTGTGAAGAGTAGACTTGAGAAAACCAGGTTAGTTTCAGACCTGAGTGTGGATGTATAGACCACTTATTCACATTACAGCTGGTCCTAGAAAATAGAAACACATTCACGCCTCTGACGATAGTTGTATTTCTCGACCTTAAGGTTGGCATATGACTCTATCGATCGTGAGGTTTTATGGCAATGCCTGTCATTGAAAGAAGTACATTAGCTTTATAAAGACTCTCTACTCGAACATTACTGGTCGAGTCAGACATTATAGCGAACTGTCATCGGAATCGATTGCGTCAAACGATGTTCTTCAGGGCTATCTACTTTCTCCATTGTTATTTAACTTCATCATTGACATGCATTTAGAAAGGACACTTTCATCGTCCGACTCTTCAGAGCTGATCATTTACCAGGAGACTCGCTTGTTGACTTAGAATATGCCGATGACATAGCTCGCTTCTTTATAGTTATGAAACATGGCCATTAAGAACAGAGGATATTCGGGTGTAGCCGATCACTGGTGTCTTCGGAGCACTGATCGAGTATTCTAGAACCACCGAGTAAGTAATACCTGAGTTATGAATAGGGTACCATCTACCTCAACAGGCGATGTTGTCTGGTTTAGGAGTAGGTTGGGAGAAAGCTAGAGGCTGCCTAGCCAAGGCAAGGTATCAGTTGATAAAGGTACTTCACTTTTGGACCGAGGTATGTCGGTATGTACGAACTATCTAAATACGTTTTCGCTTGAATATCGTCATCAATGGTCAGAGTACTTTGTATGGCATGGATCAGAATCGTCCCAACCAATCTAACTCACTCAGTGTAAGTTTATCCACTCAACTTTGGACCATACTATGTTTGAGAGTTAATGATGCTATCGGTTTGTCTAAACTGAAGTAGGTGTTGTGAAGTCTGAACACATCAACTTAATGGTTGAAAGCCATATAATTTAAACATTAAGCCACTACTTTACTTGTCCAAAAAATTTAACAATGTCACTGTGTACTATGTATTTAATTAACAGAACAACATCGAACTTCATTGACGTTCCGGTTATTGATAATCTTTTAAAAATTGACAAGCGGTCAATCCATATCAATGTGAATCAATATTGATTTATTCCGACTGATGAAATCAATAATAACAAGTTTACACTATTTCGTTTTCTTTATCGACTACAACAAATTTTTTAACTCATTACCATAGTTGAAGTATACTACTCCTAACGTACACAGAAAGTTTGATTTGCTTTTGCCAATTTAGGCCGTTTATGGCGTAGGCGAGATATCCGTTCGCTAACCAAAGGATGGGTGTACTGCGCAGCAGTTTGCTCTGTTCTCCTATACGGATCCGAATCATGGCCGTTAAGAGTAGATGTTCGTAGATTACTAGTATTCGATCATAGGTGTTTAACAAGCATTGCTCGTATATCGTAGGACAACCGAGTAAGCAATGCTGTCGTTAAGAAACGAGTGTACTAGGTAAGGATGGCAAATCAATAGATGAAGTAGTGAAACTTCATCAATTGAGGTGGTTTGGACATGTGTTACGAATGCCTAACCACCGATTGCCTCGACCAGCTATATTTTGTGGTGTAGGAGGAGGTTGGAAGAAAGCTAGGGGCAGCCAAAACAAAACATGGCAGAAATGCATGAAGTCACCGAGTCATGTTGGTAGATGTCGACTACCTGGTTGGGGTCCGCGAGACGATAGTCACCGATGGTTAGAGACCTTGAACGACATGGCTAAAAATCGTCTGCAATGGCGCAAGTGCATCCATTCGTTGTGCTCTCTCAAATCCTAATTTTCTGGATTCGTCAGCCTACCTTTGTCTTTCTAACCTTATCTCACTGAATTATACTTCTTGAATAATATCTTCAAACCCTAGTCTTCTTCATTACCATTAATACCTCTACTATCTCTATCACTATGGGATTTTATTTGACATTTGCGTCTCTGTGCTCATGTGTTATGGCAACCTGAACTAATGTACATACGTACGTAGTTCTACGTTGCAACTGACTGACTCGGCTCTTAAACTTAAGTAGAGTATGGTACTACACCATACCGCGATAGTTAGGATTAAAGTAACTAAGAATTACATCTGTATGCAGAAGTTTCATTAGTTGCACTGAAAGATTTCAAAGATTGTGTACTAGTTTCGTTTTATTTGATAAATATAGCAGTAATGAATTAAGCTTGATAACTAGATGTTATATGCCTTGACTTGTGATGACTGATCAATAATCAAACTATACTATCACTGATGGATTTTGTTATGAGATTCAATTTACGAGATCTCAACGTGATATGCGCTAACCCCAGCCCCCAATCGAACAATTTGCACAAATAATCGTATACATATA